TGACAGAAAACCCCTACCCCTGGGAAAGAGCCAGGCCAACAGAAGCAAACTCTCATGGGCACCATATAGGAAAAATAGAAACATGAAGCATATATGTCAGCTGGGTCACGCATGGCCTTGGTCAAACTTTCCCACATGGAACCACATGTCGCAAGGCCGAGTGTTTCCCTCAAAGACCCAAATCACTTGGCAGCAGCCTTTGCCTTTGCTTTTGCCTTCGGTGCCTGGGCAGGCGATTGACGAGGGGAATGCAAATCAAGAAGTGGCGCTCTTAGATTGAATGTGCCCATGAACAGTCAGCCAAATTCCAGCACTAATCACACCCGAGCCACTACATGAACCTTGATTGCCCTTTTGGCGCACTGGTACTTCTTGAGGGACGCGTCGATTTCGTTCGTCAAGTCGATCGCCTTCGAATTCACTAGATCGTGCATGGTTGTTCCGCTCCATTGAGACACGCTGTGGAATCTTTTGCAATTAACTCAGATGACATGTACAGTGCAGTGCAAACCGCAAATTACAGAGTTAAAGGTTGCAAATCTGCCTAGAGAGACTGAGAGAACACAAAAAAGGTCTCAACATGTGTTAGGGGTGGCAAAGCACCTCAGCATCCGTATCGGTCGCTTCAAGCGATTGTCTCAGCGACTTCAGGCTGGCCGACTGGGTCTTCGCGTTCTCCACCAAGGCTTTGGCCAGCCGCAGAGACCTGAAGTGAAAAGTGGATAAAACGACCCTCAGCATGTCATGGTCATCATCGAGGAACCTCGATGAACTCAAGTCAAACGTCCCTTATTTGGGTCTCTCGCAACCGTTCCATCATGCCAAACCAGACCTTTGTTGGAACACTTCTAAGAGAGGTTGAGTTGAACCGCCCACCACCCCCAAGCCACAAAGGATTATGCTGACATGTTGCACACCATTGGACTTCAGCTCCTCAGCGAAGGTGCCCACTTCGGCAATGACAGAGGCGATGGTGGTCAAGGCTTGACGCTTCGGATTGTTTGGAGAACCAGGACGAAAAAGAACTATCATTTCACATTTGGTTTTTGGGTCCTGTCAACTTGCAAGTGCTGCAAGTGGCAGGATCTCCCAGAGCCACTGTTGGAATCCTTTTGAGAGCCTACCCAATTGTTTTTGCTTCTAAATGATTCAAAAACAAATGACCGTGGGAACACATTATATATACGCCTTCTTTTTCTTCTTTGCGGGCGCTTCGTCGACCTTGACAAACTCTTTCGCTTTGGACTTGCGCCTCTTGGTCGACTTCTTCTGCCTGGGTTGAAACGAAATGCATGGGCAACAAAACACAACACCAGGTTGGAGGTGGGAGAACCGATGAGAATCGTGTCAACTGTACAGCACCTAGTGCGATTCTTTGAATTCATTAAAGCTATAGATATCGGACATCAAATTGAATTCTCGACTAGATGTGTTTGTTTGTTTCCCAGTGGGCTGTGTTCATGGCTTGGGTTAGGACGTAGATCTGGTAGATCCCTTTTGGTCACCTTCCTCTTCGTCGCCAGAAAGATCACCATCGGAATCCTGTGCCGGAAATGGTTGGAATTCAACTCTGGCCAGGTTCTAGCAGACTAGCATATTATAGGGAAATGCATGCGCGATATATACCACCTGAGTGATGCAGGGTCTGCCAGGGCAGTCTGCCAGGTCCTCATGTTCGTGTTGTGCACCATCTTCCTTCTCGTCCTCGCTCTCCTCAATCTCAACCTCCTCGTCGTACACTTTGTAGAGAACCATGTCCTGTGACAAAATTGGCAATGAGAATTTAAATCAAATCGATTTTGGGCCTTGTTGGAGAATACACCAAAATTAGATCTCCAATATTGAATGTGGAGCGTCAAGCTCAGAAAAATGGAGGTCCTCTCGGTCCGGGAATTCAGGGTGATACTTCCAATCGCCAGAGGCATACTTTGCAGCGCACAGTTCTTCGACAAGGTCCAGGTCATTGTCATACCTGGTCAAATGGTGCAGGACTGCACGGGCAGGCTATGGGATCATACATGATCATACATCTAATGGCCACATGTGAGCTTGCAGGTACATGCTTCTGAATGTGGCTAAGTTACTGTTTGAGCAACTGGGATTTCGTTTTCCAAACCTTCCGGAGTGAACGGCGATTGCGACTCCTATGAGTAAGCTTCGAATATGTGCGGGAACGCTTCCATTTCCCTTTGCAAAGGAAAAAATCCTCCAGGATGTCTTGCCTCCACAGGGAAACCCAAATCCCAGACTTCAGGTAACGCTCAAAAAAAGGCCAAAGAAAAAGGAGTCTAACTGAGCTGAGCTGAAGTAAAAATGTTGGCCTGATCGGGCTTGTCGATACGCCCGCTTCACACACTGCGGAGTGGTCTTGCCTCATGAGTAAATCCATTATATATACGCTGAAGTGATGGAATCAGCTAATTATTGAGCATCAGGCACTTCAGACTGTGGAAAAACCGCATGTAGTGGGATTTTCGGCCCTTGATCTGGTCCTCACTGAGCTCAGCCTCAGCAGTAGGTTCATCTTCAGTCGAAGTTGATTTGGCAGTTGGCTTCCTCTCCAAGGCCGCCTTCACTGCCAGTTTGTCAGAAACGTGCTGAGTGAACTCTTCCCATCCATGGCCCGCATCGAACCACCACTTTCCATTCCACCAAGCCCACTTCAGCTCTGAACCTGAAGTGCCCTTGTCACCTTCAGCCACCTCAGTCTTCTTCGCCTGCTTGGCGGCCTTCTCCTCATCACGCTTCTTCTTCTCCTCAGCCTTCTTGGCAGCAGCCGCGGAGGCCTTCTCCTCACGACTCTTCTTCTTCTCCTCAGCCGCAGCTTTCTTGGCAGCAGCCACGGAGGCCTTATCCTCATCACGCTTCTTCTTCTTCTCCTCAGCCGCGGAGGCAGCTGCCTCATCAGGCTCCTTCTCCTCAGCCTTCTTGGCGGCGGCCGCGGAGGCCTTCTCCTCGTCACGCTTCTTCTTCTCAGCCTTCTTGGCGGCAGCCGCGGAGGCCTTCTCCTCATCACGATTCTTCTTCTCGTCAGCCTTCATCTGTGCAGCCTTGCGGGCCTTCTCCTGGTCACGCTTCGCATCCCGTGCAGCCTGACGAGCTTGCTTCTGAAGTTCAGAGACTCCTTTCTCATCAGGCTTTGCCGCTTGAGAAGTCGGTGACTTCTGGCTGGCATCTGGCCTGCCATCATTCCCAGACTTTTGTCTCTTCTGTGGTGGAAGAGTGCCAGCTTCTTCTGCAACACGTTTGCCATCAACTGCAGAAGACTTGGAAGTACTTGAGCTCTTGGATTGGTCGACTTCTTCAGGTGCTTTGGCCTTGGCAGCCTTTGGCTGTGTCCTGCCAGTTTCTCCAAATAGTGATGAGGCAGGGCTTGGACTCTCCTTGCCATCCTTCTTCTTCTTTGCACTGTCATGCGCACTTGCACTAGATGCAGATCTTGGACCATCCTCCGCATTACGTTTCCGTTGTCTGTTCTCTGAACTCGTAGTTGAGACAGCACTTGGTTTCTTTGCCTTCGGGGACGGAGGCAGTGGTGAAGGTGTCTCCCTTGGCTGTGCGTCTGTCCAATTCTCCTGGAGTTGTCGGAGCTCAGGACTGTCAAAGATATGCCCACCATCCACGGGCTGGGTGCGTTGACCTGATGGTATATGTATTACACACATTTGCGCATGTATTGGCAGAAGCTAGGGCCGAAACCTTTTGCAGGACAAACAGCCGCTGGAGACTTCCTTGGGCCGATTGGAGGATTTGGAGGCGGATCCCGGGACATGGTCATGTGCATTTGGGGGGTCTGGCACAGCCTTCGGAGGCGGCGACATATAGCTACGTAAAGTGCTTTACGATGTTTTACGTATACGTAGGTCTTTGCCACAGTGAGCCAAATGCTAAAATGTAAAAACTAGGTCAACGGTTGAGAAAACTAGGTCAACCCCTGCCAAAACTAGATCAAAGGCCGCGAAAACTCGGTCATGCATTTTTCTTGATTTTCACGAAGACCTGAAATCGGCACGAATCCTGCAGCTAGCACCGCAGTCCAATTCTGAATTTGATGATCTAGCATGCATGTCCCAGCCTATGGCGGACACAATGGAAACAAAGGAACGAAACTATGATCCTGAATGCGGGCGATCAGGAAGCGGTACAGACTTGGCAAGTCTGCGTAGGTCCTCCAGTCAAAGTGCTCCGCCTGGCAGCGTCAGGCAGCGCTTGCACGACGTACAGACCACGCAGGGTTGGAGCCTGCCTCTCGAAATCGTCCATGGTATCGTCCAGCGGTGGAGGGCGAAGCTTGCGGTCCTGACACAGGGGAAGGGTGGTATATATGTTTCTTTTTGGTGTCTGTAGCGGCCTTCACCATACGCTGTAGCTTGATGACTCTTTTGGCAAACTTCCTGGGGTACTGCTGACTTCTCTTGAGATCAGGACCACCGCTCCTTGACAGTTGTCAGGACATGTCATATGATAGCAGCTTTTCTTGCAAAACGACAGGCATGCTAGTTGCAAATGAGCTTCACTTTTTTGGAACCGTTTTTGTATCCATTAGTGCGGACGAGCTCGATCTCGTGATTTTCCTGGTCCATGTTGATTTTCTGTCGCTGGGCAAAGGTCAGGCGCCTCGCAAGATGGAGCAAGCCAGGCCTGGGGCCAAGAGAGCAAGAGGCATTTCTCTAATCGGTCGAACACGGTTTTGGGATTCCACGTAGAATCATTGTGCTAGAAAACAACAGATTTGAGAACCTTTAAAGAAACAAGTCCTTCAATTTTTCTTTAGAAGGGCAGTTGTGTCTGTGCTGGAAACACTTTCAATGATGCGGTCCTGACCGTACTGGGGGGCCCCCTCCAAGCACATAGGTCGGCTTGAGAGCAAAGTGACCAAAGGCCCCCATGAAACTGAGCTGCAGAAATCTCACCAAAGAGCGGGACATGCTTTGCAATTCTAATTGTCCATTCTGGGCCGGTCCCCAAACTCACCCCAAAACCTCCAATGCACTAAGCAACACGTCAGTCAGATATGGGGGGCCAGTCCAAGGTGGAAAATTTGCACTTTGCAAGATTGTGTTGTTGCAAATTGCAAATATCTTTTGATCTCGATCATGAGTCAACTAAGTCTTGGGCAAACGTGTAATCCAGTTCTTCATGTGTGGGATGGTCAGGAGGTGTTCGTAGCAGGGAATCTTCACAAGCATCGAGCTTCCCAGCTGCTCTGCGGCCCAATAGCAGGAACGACACACTGTGACAAATATCAGCAAAGCAAAGCGAGACAGGCAAAGGTTTGACAGCCTGACAGCTTGACTTGTTGGGTCTCCCATAGGAAAGAGATGTCTAAGGCTCGTTCCCAATGATATCCAAACTAGAAGGCTGCAGGGCACCCCGCCCCATAGGAGCCCTGAAGGCTTCAACCGCATGGTCTGCTTGAGGGAGTAAATGAAGACCGCCCTCAGAATTCCACAACTAACTACAGACCAGTCTGGGGTTCGAAGCTTGGGTTTGGACGGTGTTTGGATGTCGTTCAAGGCGCCGCGTCCAGATTCCCAGTCGAAGTAGTCACTGGGCGGAAGATTTCTGCCAAAAAAACAACGACTAAGGCATATGGAGGCCCAGGCCATTTCAGTCCAGCACGGCCTCAAGGCGCGACCAAATGCTTGTGGGACTCTTGGGTGAAATCTCATAGGGCCCCAACAGCCACCCTCGTAAATGGCGTTAGAGCCGCTAAAGACTTCAAAAAGGTCCAGGTCCTTGATCATGTAAGCACCGATATGTAAATTGAATAGCGATCATGAATTTAGGATTTGAGGCTCCAACTCGGGCAGATTCTGGTGAAGCGGGCGGAGAGTTTTGAACTACAAAGTCCATCAAGTGCACCCTCAGGCACACATGGAGTGGGCACCATGGGCAAGACAGAGCAAAATCAACATCAAAACCCCCTCACAGGAAATTGAGGTCCCTGCAGAAGCATCGGCCATCCGAGCTTGATGAGAAGTAAATGTGTCCGTCTGGACACACTAAGCTGATGACCCTCCATCAGAGTTTTGTGGGTCAACAACTACAGCTGAATGGAGCACAGCTGCCAAAATTTCAGAGTTGAAGCGAACGGACACCCATGTGCACATGCAACAAACCTTACACGTACGCATGAGCGGGTGCGACCATTTCATCGCAAAAGCTCCCTGCAGATGTTCACACCTGCTCAAGTTGGCATGCCCTGTTCTTAGCAGGACATGGGCCTCCCCACTATTCATGTTTTGAATGCATAGAAAAAACACATTCAAGCCCTCTCAGGCAGCCAAACGGTCGGCTGCGGCTTACACAAAAGATCTAATAAGAGCTCATGCAGTCCGGAGGTACGATGGTTGAAGACATGATTTATAAACAAGCCCGGTCAAGCTCAATTGTGTGAAGTGCATCAGGTTTGGTATTGAAGTTGAGTGGACTTCGTTTGAACTCTTATGAACACTTCAAGGCAGCTCAGCTCGAAGCTTCAACGTTGCTGCTGGAGTTCCCACCCAGCGAAGATCCTGCAGAGGCGCCACCTGGGAGAGGCAGTCTGGCTGAAAGACATGACAAAAGAAACGTGCATGGGAACATATGGGACCATTGCAGTCAGCACACCCATTCTCAAGCCCTTCTTTCTGCGTGTTGACCGTCACACCGTTCTTCTTTCCAATAACATATCCTTCTTGTTTCACACGCGTGACCAAGGCTTCCGGGACATGGACAACGTAGAAAGACAGGATCTGCCTTGGCATGGAATAATCGGTGTTTAAAATAGCAGGTCAACAGTTTTTCAAAAGAATTAATTGCGATACAAAAATTACGAATAATATTCATGACACAGCCTTCTCAGAAGAGTCACGGAGAAAAGTGAAACTGAATGGATTTGCATTCTGCAATGCAATGCTGCGGCGGCTTCACGCTGAATGACCTCAACAAAATCGGGTGGACCGACTTGGCCAGTATCATCTGATCACGGAAGCTGTTTCTTAGGGCAAAACCTTGCTGTGAAATCAGGATTCAGCAACCCACGGGGGGCCCTCAACGAAGGGCAAAAACTGGGCCTGGATGTGCTGGAGGACCTGGCCAAAAAGCAACACGAAAATCGGTTTCTGTAGAGGATCTAGCTAATATATAGCAGCTATAGTATGCGCACCTCTAACCGGCTTTGCAGCTGCTGCAAGGTTCCATCTTTAATGTTCTTTCTCTCTGTTCTGGCTTTCGGCTGTGCAGAGCGTTTCCTCTTGTTTTCGTTCCTCTTTTGTCCGGACCCCTGATCAGACTCATCGTGTTTGGCTCGCTTTCGACCTGGGTCTTCAATCTTTTCACCCGTCCGTCGCCTAGATGGTGGGTCTGCCTTCGGTTGAATTGGAGTAGATGGGGCCTCTGGAGGAGCAACTGCCTCAAAGTCCTCATCCAAGCTTCGCTGCACCGGTTTCTCATTAGTGGCTCGGTCACGACCACGGCCCTTCCCGCGACCACGCCCTCGCCCGCGCCCCTTTCCATTATCATCTTTATTCAAGGAGGCTTTCCGCGCTTGTCCCTGAGCCTCCAAAGTCGGAAGGCTGCTTTAGATAGATCAAGATTCGGTTCAGAAAGAACATGAACGAACAAAAAAAGATCATGCGCATGCCTTCAACAAATCATCATCGATATCCTTTGGCTCATAGATCATTTTGTTCACAACTGCTTGGATAGACTTGTCAAAGTCGTGGGGCACCTGCGCTGGTTGGGCGATAAGCGGCTTTCGGTCCTGCAGGAAAAGAGAAATGGTTCTTTTCTATTTATGCCACAGCTCAGTCTTTGAACGTTCCCTTGACCACTCTTCGACCTCCTGCGCCCTCATATTCCTCATCACTCGACTCTGCTTGCACGTGTTGTGTTTCTGAATGTGCTGGTGCTTCAGGTGTCTCTGCGAGCTGTGTTCCCAGAGCAGTCGGGTCAACAAAAGAGGAGTTTCTTTGCTGTGCATATTGCTTGGTTTTGGCTCGTGCCAGCGCTTGCTGTGCAACTTGCTCTCCTTGAATTGCTTCTTCGATGCTGCCATCTTCTTCCTCGTCCTGTTCTGTCACTTGCTATTTCTTTGTTCTCTCCGCTCCCTTGCTTCCAACAGCGCCGCCCTTGTCCTCTCAAAGGGCCTTCTGGTTTCTGTAATCCCAGCATTGTTGTTTTCCGTTGCCTCAGGTTCTCCCTGGTCGTCGCTTGTCTTGTCATCGTCGTCTTTCTCCTCGTCCTCATTCCTTGACTCCTTCATGTCCTCTTCCTCTTCATCCTCCTGGGCAATTGATTCTTCTTGTTCTCCTTCTTCCTCCGCCTGTCTACTCTTTTCTTTTGCACTCTCTTCCTCTTCCCTCCTGCTCTCTTCCATGCACTCTTCCTCCTCATCCTCCTCGCTCTTTACTTCTTCTTGCTTTGCTTCTTCCTCCAATCCACTCTCTTCCGCTGCTTCTTCTTCCTCCTTTCCTTCCTCCTCATCTTCATTCTCCTCACTTCCCCCCCTCATCCTCCTGATCACTTGCTA